GCGAAAATGACTAGCTTTTGCGCTGGGGTCGGCGAGCATGCGGCAGGTGAGGCTGCGGTCGTGGGCTGAGATGCCGGTTGTGACGGAGGGGTCTGCGGCGTCGATGCTGACGGCGTAGGCGGTGCGGTTGGGGTCGGCGTTGTCCGAGACCATTTGCGGGAGGTGCAGGGCTGCGGCGCGCGAGACGGGGAGCGGCGCGCAGATGTAGCCTGAGCTGTAGCGGATCATGAAGGAGGCTTTGGAGGGGGTGAGGGCTGAGGCGGCGATGATGAGGTCGCCTTCGTTTTCGCGCGAGGGCGAGTCGAGGACGATTACGAATTCGTCGTTTGCTGGGGGTGGGTGGGGTGGGTTAGTAGGTGGGTTTCTTTGAGGGGAGGTTGGACGTTGGACGTTGGACGTACCGAATGCTTGTATCACATCTGGTATCGAGTCGAATGCTGGGTGTGAGGGTGTGGAATTGATTGTTTCTGTCACCTTGCCGTTGACGCCGTTTGTGCCGTTGGCGGGCAGCCCGTTCTCCAGTTCTGCAGTCATATTTCCAAGTGTAACTTTTTTTCTCTTCGTCTCTTCTCTTCTCTCTTTGTTTCTTCCTTTCTGCTCTTCACTTTGTCTGACGTATATAATATGTATCCAGACTCCCCTTGTGAAAAGTATATGTTATGGCGCGGAAAGATTACCGCGGTTATCGCTCGGCCCGTATGACTGGTTTCGCAGGCCTCTTCCCTGGAGGTTGCTAATGTACGTGCTTAGAAAACAATTCCGTAAGCGACCGGTTTTCCGCGTTGCCTCGGAGCCCCAAATCTTTTCTATGTTGCAAGTGGGCGGGCGTGAGGAGGTGATGGATGCAATGAAACGTTTTGTAGTACAAGAAGACGCAAACAGTTCGGATGTTAGGGTAGTGTCAATTTTCAGGTCGCATAAAGATGACAGGTGGGTGATGGGTAGGATTATGTTGTAATTGTCTGCGGAACCGCCGTTCGGATGTCCCGATGTCACTAGCAGATGGAGGGGTGATCAGATGCACATGCCTCGGCCTTTTTCCCCTGCGTCGGTGCGAAGCGAACCGCCGCTCCGATCCAGGCCCAGTGCATTGCTCCGACATGGCCGATGGGTGTGGCTTGTCTTGTGACATGACATCTGTGTAACGTCAGGTACCCAGACATCACTCTTATGCGCCAATGCATGAACCTTTGACGATTATCTCAAGGTGGCACGCGGATACACCAATTGTAAGCATATTCAATCAGAACAAAAACCAATTCCTTTTCAGATACAAACAAGGGTATAATTCAAGACCACTCATCGGTCTCCGAGGATGCCGTATAGCTTCCTCTCACTCGATGACCTTCGTCATTGACGCTATAAAACACTAATTTAGGGACTGTTGCACTGAATTCAGCTATGCAAAAGCAGCCCTCACGCTAAAAAAAATCAATGGAACGACTAAGCCTGCTTATCACTGACAAACTCTTTGTCGCCGTGAGTAGAGCTGCCACCGCTGCGGGTCTCCGCAACACCCTCAGTCTGGGGGCTAGACTTCCAAAAGTCCATCTTTCCGCTCTTGAGCCTCTGCACCCAGGGTGGGAAGAAGCCGCCCTCGAGGCGGTATGTCCAGTGCTCTTTCTCGTCCTTGTTAGGTGGAACGATACGGCCGCCAGACGCGAGCTCGATCAGCCAGACCAGAGTGTTGATCAGAATGTAGGAGCAGATACCGGCAATCAGACCATAGGCAATCGAGTATGTGAAAGGCATAACCGCGATGGTGAGGAAAGCCGGAATGGAATCGCCCAGGTAGCGCCAGTTGATGTCCTTGGCCGAGGTAGCCATGAGGGAACCAACAATGACCAACGTACATCCAGTGGCCCATGGCGGGATAGAGGCGAAAATAGGAGCGAAGAAGATGGAGATGAAGAAGCAGAGTCCGGTAAACATGGCAGTAAGACCAGTCTTGCCTCCCTCGGAAATACCAGCACCAGACTCAATGTACGCAGTGACGGGAGGGCAGCCCATAAGCGAGCCAATGGAGATACCGATCGCATCTACAGAGTAGGCAATGGATGAGTTTTCAAAATCCTGAGTGCGCTCATCAATAGCGCCGCAGAAACGGGCCATGGAGTAGAGGGTACCGGTGCCTGGACATGTTAGTATAGATATCAGAAATTATGGATAGTGTGCAGCTTACAGTCGAGAATGTCAACATAGAGGAAGGTAATGAAAGCAAGACCCCATTGACCAGCGTGCGCCGAAACATCCCATTCTTGCACAGCCAGAATCTTTCCAATCGGGTGGAACGTAACCACCTGCTTGAAGAAGTTGAAAGCGGAGTCACCAGTTTCGGTGTGGGGGAAGTAGGTGACGCTAGTGGTACGGGGCCAGGAGATAATCGACACAAGCATGATGCCAATGATAATGGCACCTTTGACACGGTATAACATCAGCATGACGGTCAGGATACCGCCGCAGAAGATTCCGATCCACATGGTTGGGTTCCTCATCTTAGCACCACCTGGGCAAACGCCATCGACTTGCGCCGAGGGAACACAACCACCCAGCTCAAGAGGAGTGGATTGAGCGCCAGTGATGAGACCGATACCAGCAGAGTAGGCAAGACCGATGATGGTGAGATAGAGTCCGATACCGACACCAGTGGCGAGCTTGATACTTGCGGGAATAGCCCTGGGTATATGGTTAGCTTACGCATGCAGACTGAGTGGCTTCAAGTGTCAGACTGTGTGACACAGTGCGCTAAACGCAGCCACACGGTACAACTCTAACGAAGAACAGGGACACCTGAGCACATAGCTCATTGTAATGACGTACCTTGCGAGCCACTGACGGATACCGAGAATGGTAAGACCTACAAAGACGAAACCTTCGACAAAGACGGCGGTGAGTGCGACCTCGTACGGAACCATGCCTTTTACAGAAATCAGCATAGTCCCATGTAGACATCGAGTACGCCCATGACACGGAGAGGTCGATAGGGCCAGATGCAGTGCGACATACCTGTACCATGGAATCCGACAACAGTGTAGGCAAAGTAGGCGTTCAATCCCATTCCGGGGGCGAGTGCAATTGGCATGTTGGCGAACAGGCCCATGCAGAAGGATGTCAAAGCGGAAATGGCAGCTGTGGCGGTAACGAGATCGCGTTTGATTTCCTGGACGCACAGCGCATACTCGGCGTTGGTCTCACAGATGGGGTCGTCGGGGAGTCCAGGGCAAACGCATGTACCACCGCTGTCTGACACGATCGATGCTGTCCATGTTGATCAGATGATGAGAGTCAATGGCACTGCGCAATTGACATACAGTTTACAGAGATGATGTAGGCCATTGCGAAGAAGGTAGCGAGGCCTGCGCGGAACTCGGTGGTGAAGTAACTGCCTTTGCGCTCCTTGGGCTGTGAACTGGTCAGTGCATGTTTTGATGATACACTTTGGCGATGGATGTACACACATGGCCGGAGCCTTCAAGGCGAAAGTACCTGCCGACGAGGGAGCTCGCGACGGCGGCATTGATCTTCTGGACCAAGCCGGACATGATGCAGAGATTTCAGCGATGCCGTGGGGTGGCGATTGAGATTTTGGAGGTTGAGTGTGCGAGTGAGTGGGAGAGTGAGAGAAAGTGTGTTGCAGCGGTGCCAGTTGCCGTAAAGTGGACCAAGCTGCGAGAGGGATCGACGTCGAGCTCTGCCCTGTGGGTTTGCGCCGGCAAAGAGAGCTTTTTAAGTCAAGTGAATGCGTATTACAGGACATGAAGCGCATTTAGCATGCTGCCGCACCAAAAAGATAAGGGCAGGCGGCGAGGCCCAAACCCTGTCGCGTTCGTCGTCCCACAGAGAGCCAATGGCAGATATCAGGACGACCAGGCTTTGCTCGAGGGGGTATAGCCTGACAGTCCACGCGAGCCCACATCACGGTAAGCTAGGGCGTCTCGGATTCGTGCGCGTGAAGGAGGCGGCCGGCCGGTGCTGGGTACTACTGTAGGCTGGGGAAACGTACTGTAGTGAATGTGCGGCACGACACCTCGCCTGTTGCAGCCAATACACTTAGGCGCATTGCTATGCTTTTCCTAGGACCGCCACGACAGCCGATCCGTATCTCTGGATGAGGGGGGGATGCGGAGGCGGCCGAGAGCGCTGTCTGACTTCACTGTACCTACAGCTGGACTTCGCCTCTGCTATCTGGGACGAATCGCTGTTATCACGGCAGCCACAGCAGCCTCAAGGCGCAATTGACCGATTGCAAATGGAATCCTGTCAAGAGTTTGGCGGCCTTGCCGGGTGGGCGACCGCATCGAAATAAGGTGGGCCGAGCCAAGCGACGGTTCGCGGCGACCGGCCTAGTTGCGTTAATGGTTTTTTTTTCAGAGCACCAAGTGGAGATTTTGCCAGCCCTGTGCATTCGCAATCGCCCCAGTGCCTCCCCCACCTGCATATCCTCGCCGTGCTCGCTTCTTGTGTGACGCGACTACTACGCTTGTCGGTGTTGCGAACAAACACGCCCGTCCCCGCTGGCCTCTTTGCTGGATAGATACAGTTGCTGCTGCTGCTGTTGCTGATGATGATGAGCAACATGCGGCAAACAGGGCTCCAGGCATGTTTGCTCGCCTACGTACTAACCCGCATCGGGCCCTCGGTCCATCACTCACCCGCGTGGTTTGCCTTATAATCAACTCCTTGATGATACTCTGCATATGTCCTTACATACAACATCCACACCCCTTGTAGATAATGCACCAACGGCCTTTGCACACATCATCCCCGGAGAACAAATTCCGGTCGCTTACACCTTCGTATCCTCATACACGGCCGTATACATATATTGGTACATTGGTGGACTAAGCAGTTCCTTTCTTCTGCTGCATAGCGTGCACCTGTGCAGTATGCGCCACCGGTGCACACGTCGCAAACAAGATGCCGTGGACGCTGCTCTAGATCTTTGTGTTTGTTCTTCTCTTCTTGGACGACCTTTCCAATAAGCCTTCAAACATAGTGCAATGCCTATGGGTACGCCAGTCTGGAGTCAGTCGTCACTTACATGTATTGAAACACCACTTGGGCCTGCGCTGCCAGCGCACATGGACTTTGTTTTGACAGCTGTACGACAGACCGCGGTCTTCTTGAAACGGCTGACAGGTACCTACACACCCGTGACAGCTTCGTTTATGCCGCAATGCTATTCATTTCAAACTTTGTACGTCGTACTTACAATCATGATCGACATGGACGGATGGACGTGCATTCATCTCAAGCGTAAATGTTCCGAGGAGGATTTCGACAAATTCGTCCAATCTTACTGTCTCGCCTTAAGAAACACCAAGAATGCGGGCGCCAACCAACACCCGTACCAAGGCTATATACAATATGCGCCATGTCTGTTAGGATGCGGGCCTAGATCAGTTCCTTATAAGCGATACCATGCGGCTTACCCCTTACGCTAAGAGGATGCACGCCGTCGTTGCTGGGAAAAAGAACAAATCAAGAGCTGCATTCAGCTCCGAGGGGATGGGAGCTCGCACCTAATCGACAAGCACCAGGAAAAAGAAAAAAAATGACTAGTAATTCTTGCCGGCAGTCAAGAAGATTACGTCTTCATGGGGCTTTGGCAAGCTGTTCTCAGTAACTGATACTAACTACAATCCGGGGAGTCTAGTCTTTGTCCTCACCAACCGAAAGTCTATCTTCTAGTGTGTTTTCTAACTGCAAATTAACCTTTCGCAGCGTGGGAATTGAGAAACCGAAAACATTCGAGCCAGATGGTCGCATGTGTTGTGGTCAATGTTTATCCGTAACCCAGAACAACCAAGGTAAAAGTGAGCCAATGCGGCCATGTTGAGTTGCTTGGCCATGAAATCTGGGCCACCAGTTGCGAAGCATGTGACATTTAAAACACGCAGACACACTGTCGTCGGAGCGGAGGACTCGCCCTCTATACCCTTTCGCTTGGCATACCCAATCTAGCGCAGGGCGATTCTGTAACTAATAACACAACCATCAAGGATCAAAGCCTAGGCATAAGACGCAAAACCACTATAGAGCATCAAGTTAGGCCTGATCAGATTTGCGAGATCGTCACATCTGTCGGGTCGATTCGCAGAATACTCGGACGAGGTGTAATAGTATCCACATACAGATGCATAGGATTTCACATGTGTGGATGTGGACTTTGGCTAGTCGCATGATCCTTGCTAACAAGCACGGATAGAGGATTTTGAGTAGCGGCGGATCCTGACCTCATAGTTTGAGCGAGAGATGAGGTTCTCGCAGCTCGCATATACATCGTCTATTGTTGAGGTAGAGAAGTCCTAACGAAATGATGTAACGGTTTAGCAATGTTGAGGCGCAGATGTTGTGGAGTATCACCGCCACACTTTCAAGCCACTGTATGATCAACAATGACGTATGCCAGACGGCAACCCTGTAACCTTGTCTGTCGCGTGGACCTCTTCCACCCATGACACCTGTCGACTGCTGAGACTCCATACACGTTCTGCTGGCTTGCTATTGTTCCTGCAGATAGCCTTAGCCAGTCTACCGGTCATGAGACATCGACTGATCGCGTTGGCTTCGCTCCCTCGCGTCAGCGCACTTCCGTCGGCCCGTTGTGCACCCTTGTTTATTCGCAGTTCTCCTTCTGCATCGATACGACCAGGCGTATTCTCCCAACTTCGATACTCGACAAATGGGAGACGTTCGGAGTTCGACAAGTATGGCGACTACTCAAATAGCAATGCCCGGCCCGCTGCAGAACTCAACGAAAACATTACACAGGAGGAGAAGGACCATTTCGCACAGAAGCTGAGGGAAGATAAAGGCAAGCAGATACGTACGCCATGGCACAGACAGGGAAGCGATACGCCACCTGTTGCGCGACAGAGGAGTGCTGGAGCGATGACCAAGGGCATGTTTTCGCCAATGAATATAGGAAGACAATTACTAACACGGGACAGGAAAATTGCTAACCACACCATCTCGCATGCTGAAGATCATCCTTCCCCTCACCACTAGCGACCAGAATAGCGACCGCAAGGATATTGAACCGTTGGCACTCCTGGTACATCCACAGCAGCCCATCTCATATCTCGAGCGTCTGATACAGGCTGAGCTTCCCACCATTAAGGACAAGCAAGGCCGTGAGCGGCAACCAAATGTGTACTTTCGGGCTGAGGATTCAGTGCAACCAGAGGAAGAGTCAGGGGACACGAAGAAAACACCAGTCAGCAGTGAAAAGGAAAGCTTGAGACAACAAGAGGGAGAAGAGGACTTTGAGCAGGTTGATGAGATTCGCATCGACGGCAAGATCCACAAGACGGGCAAACTTGGCACGCGTGATAGGATGAAACCAGAACAAGCAGAGGAGCTACGAGGTGGGCCTGGAGAGGGAGGAGTAGAGTCGTACTCTGGCCAAGGTCACGAGGCCTCTTCGGACAAGGAGGGACAGCGCAGATTTGTACGATGGTCTTCGTCGACTGAGATTGGCGACTTTATTCGTGATGCTGCTCGAGGTCAAGAGTTTGCGATTGAAATTGAAGGGGCGCCCGAAGAAATACGGGTTGGTGTGCCAAGTTTCAACGACAGGACGTACTATCTGCGAATGCGGTTACGAAAAACCTCAAAGAAGATCAGCGCCATGGCCGACGTCAAGAAAGAGTGTGACGATCTAGCGCAGCTGGGTGCCAAAAGGGTAGCCATGGCTGGGTTCGGCGGAATCGTAGGATGGTGGTGCGTTGTGTACTATCTCACGTTCCAGACGGAACTAGGATGGGACGTCATGGAACCCGTGACGGTAAGCTTCTTCAACTTTACTGTTTAGACTGTGCAAGACTAATTTGGCTGTAGTATCTTGTTGGTCTTTCGACACTTATTGGCGGTTACGTATGGTTCCTTTACCACAACCGCGAAGTCAGTTATCGTTCAGCCATGAACTTTACCGTATCTCGCCGACAGCAGAAACTCTATCAGCAGCACAACTTCGATCTGCGCAAGTGGGAGGCGCTGATTGAAGATGGCAACACTCTCCGTAGGGAAATCAAGGCGATTGCGAACGAATACGATGTCGAGTGGGATGAGCTGCAGGATGAAAAGGACGAAAAGGTGCAGCAGGCACTCAAGAAGGAGCGCCGCCGTCAGGAAGAGAAGAAGAAGAGCAAGGATGATGATGACGAGCCCGTTCCGGTGACCAAGGACGAGAAAGGTAACCAGTAAAGTGTGGATTGTGGAGTTTATTCAGTCAGGCATTGTGATTTTTTGCGGATGAGGCATTTGAGCGTGGCGTTTTGGGAGGGATGCATGGTATATTCATAGATAGACATACCCCGGCATGTTGTGCTATAAGCATTACAACAGAAAGTTTGTCGGTCACACGCAGCAGACGTATGGTGTGAGGACGGGTGCATCAGCATGTGTCATGGATGGAGTGGGTTGGAGTCTCATGGGGGTTGGGACGAAAAGAGTGGGGCCGAGTGGTGCTGCTAATAATATCGCGGCGTGTGGGGATGCATTGTGTTCGAGTGCCGCGCCGCATGCACCCTGCACGGCACTCGGATGCTTACTTTGGACAGGGCAACATGGCAAGTATCCGCGTACAGCAGCACCACGGGCAAACTGGACTGACTGACTGACTGACCGACCGGAGCAGGGACATGGCCGCTGCCATTGACAAGCGGACTAGAGGGCGCAGTATCAGGAGACACGCACATGGAGCGCCATGCAGGCTGGGGACATGCAGTGGGCATCTTCTCTACTTAGCCGCCGACGTCTTGTCGACGGGCAGGGATGGTGCAGGTCGCCCTGGTCGCCGAGCGCATGAAGCGGCGCCCATTCGCTGGACAAGCAACAGTCAAGACTGCCTCTAAACCCGTGTGCGCCGCCATGATCGCCGCCGAACCGCCAGGCGTCGAATTGGCCGCCGTCGTCCATCTTCACCCTTTCACCAATACACAGCAGCATGACCCTGCAGTCTCGTCTAGGGTGACAACCGCCCGCCTGGCGCAGCGCCCCATCGTCGCCCGCTCTCTCCTCTGCTGCTGGATTCGCCCACGCCCGCTCGTCGGAGCCGCTGAGGGCTAACTGTTCTGGTCGACGAACCTAGCACTGAGTAAAACCGAGAGGACGATTGCTCCTCCATACATACTAGTCGCTATGGCTTCAGAACAGGCCTACAGTCCTGCCCCACCGCCCTCTCCCCGACTACCTCCCCCGCCGTCTTCACCGCATCCCACTCACCTCCAGGCGCCGCAGATATCTCCCAGGCGCTTCGCTGTGCAACCGCCACTGCTCAACACCACCCTTGCGCCACCGCCTCCCTCTGGTCCCGCCTATCTGCATGGCTCCACGCCCGTTACGGCCTCGTCGCTGAGCCTGCCCTTCTCGCCCTCACTCACGCCCTCGACGTATGCGCCCTCTCCCGTCGCGGCTGCTTCACCCATGGCTATGCGAGGCTCTGCTCCAGCCGCGCCATACAACCCCCAACAATGGTCGCGGGGTGGGAGTGTCAATGGACAGCATGTCCAGCACAGCCAGATATCGGTGCCCTCGAGGCTGCATGACGTGACGGGCATGGAAGGTACACACAATTTTTCTCTTTCTTCTCACCTCCCTAGCCTATGTAGTAGATTCCGTAGACCTGCTTTCCTTCTCTCTCTCTCTCTCTCTCTCTCTCAAATGTGCAACAAACCCTGTGTTGAGCATATCATGACATTGTGCACTTTTTCCTCACCGCCGAGACAATCGACTCGACACATCAAAATGAGTGACGCTAACACTGCCAGCCTCGATGCCCTCCCCGCCACCTCCATATTCGCCTGGTCAGAACCCAAACATCTCGCAGTCATTGAGCACCAGCACCACTTCGTCGCCACAGCCCGCTGCCAATACGTTCCCCCACCCTCCACCGCCCCCGCCCC